TTTTTTTTTTTTTTTTTTTGTCAATGAATATCTTGTTTTCCCAATATATAGTGATTGAAAGCTTTGCTGGATATAGTAGTCTGGGCTGGCATCCATGGTCTGTTAGTGTTTGTAAAACATCTATCCAGGACTTTCTGGCTTTCAGAGTTTCCACTGAGAAGTCAGGTATAATTCTGATAGGTTTGCCTTTATGTTATGTGGCCTTTTTCTTTTGTTGCTCTTAACATACTTTCTTTATCCTGTATGTGTGGTGTTTTGATTATTATGTGGCAAAAGAACTTTTTTGTGGTCAAGTTTATTTCGTGTTCTGTAAGCTTTTTGTACTTTCATAGGGATCTTTCTTTAGGTTGGGAAAGTTTTCTTCTATGAAAGTTTTCTGCACCTTTGAGCTGGATTCCTTCCCCTTCTTCTATACCTATTATACTTAAGTTTGGTCTTTTCACAGTGTCCCATATTTCCTGGATATTTTGTGCTAGGGAGTTGTTGGACTTAATGATTTTCTTTGGTCGATGAATCTATTTCCTCTAGTGTATCTTCAACACTTGAAAGTCTCTCTTCCATCTCTTGTATTCTGTTGGTTATGCTTGCATCTGTAATTCCTGATCACTTAGCCAAATTTTCTATTTCCAATAGTCCCTCAGTCTGTGTTTTATTTATTGTCTCTATTTCAGCTTCCAAGTCTTGAACTGTTTGAATTGTTTCCTTCCCTTGTTTGCTTGTTTTTTCTTGGCTTTCTTTGCTTTCTTTAAGAGATTTGTTTAGTTCTTGCATTTTTTTGTTTTGTCTTTTCCTCCATTTCTTGCATTTTTTTGTTTGTTTTTCTTCCATTTCTTTAAGGGATTTTCTCATTTCCTCTTTGAGCGCCTCTATCATCTGCATAAAGTTTTTAAGGTCATTCTCTTCTGCTTCATCAGTGTTAGTATGTTCAGGTATTCTTGATGTAGAATCCCTAGTGTCATATTAGTCTTTCTGTTGTTGAATGTATTCTTATAATGTGATCTTCCTATCCTTTCTTCCCGTGTGTACATGTAGGGTCTTTCCCTCTGCTGGTGGATATGGATTCAAGGCTCTGATGGCAATTGATTCTATTTGGTTGGTCTGTCCCCAGGTCTCCCTCCTGGAGAGTGCAGGCAGGTCAAAGACTCCAATGGTGGCAGACACTGGATGTTTTGGTCTGCCCCCATGTCTCTAAGGGATTTGGTGGGTGGGAAGAGGCTACATACAGTCCCTGGGTCAGTGGACTCCAAGGAAGGGTGGGAGGTGGGCAGGAAAAGGCCTGGTACTCACCTCTCCCAGTGGGTGCAGGTGGGCCCAAGACCTATTCCTTCTGTTCCTATCCATCCCATTTTTAAATTGGGTCATTTATCTTCTTGATTCTTTATATTTTGAGATATTTGCATACTCTGGATATTACTCCTCTGGCATATGAATAGCTGGTGAAGATTCACTCCCATTTTGTGTAATTCTACTTCATTTGATCGTTTCCTTAGCTATATAGAAGTTTTTTTTTTTTTTTAGTTTTATGAGTTTCCAGTTTTTGATTGCTGGCCTCAATTCCTCCTCCTTTCCCAGGTGATCATGTCACCAGAGAATCACTGTCATCTTTCTAGTGTTTGTAACATAGCATTTTTATTGGTGTGGATATTGGGTATCAATCCCATAATGGGCAAGAGAATGCTCATAGACTGCTTTTAAACTTTGATTAAATCTTATCCTATTATTGGACTTGGCCTTTACTTGGTCAGTGAATGTATTATTCATTCATATCAGAAGTTTCCTTGATCTTATTTTTGCAATATTGTGAGCTCTGATTGGAGTGGCTACAGGAGAGGGGAATTGCCGTTCTCAGTTGGGTGTCTTTTGTATTTTCACTGTTAGGTAATTTGTACTTTTGTTGTCTCTATTTTTATGCCACAAGGAGTGTGGGAGTTTGCATATAGGTTCCTCTGCAGTACAGGCATTTAAAATCATCTGGGAGGAGAGGAGATGACTGTATGTTCCCTAATTATTCACCTCCATTACCCCTGATCTTAAGTTACACAAGTCTCTAAAAGAATGTGGAAAAATTCTTCAGTGCTTCAAGAGACGTGAAAGCAGATAAACACTGAAAGTCGTGTAAAATATCATGTAAAGGAACAGATATGTCACATTGTCTGCCTTCTGCATATTGCTTTCCTAGTCCTGAGTGTAGTCCATTCAGCCTTCCCTTCTCTTCTCTGGGAGAAGTTCCTTGATCCAGGGTCCCATCATTGCCTGGCACAATTGTCCTCAGGTCACTCCAGCCTTGATGGATATCGCTCAGCTGTGCTTCATAAAAGTGTGCTCAAGGGTAACTTTCAACTCTTTAACCTCCTACATCTGCCTTCCAAGTGCTGGGATTTTAAGCAAATGTCACCATGCCGGGCCCAATTCTTTTGTTAAAGGTAAGATATATTAGTCATGACATAGTCAATCTGGGTCAAAAATCTTTTGTATGTGTACTGTGTTATCAGAAAGTTAATATATTATGAGAATATTAATAAGTAAATGATATAAGAGATATGTTCATTTCAATGGGGAAAATTATAATGAAATAGTGGAATGCATTCCAAGAATATCCAGAATTGAGGAGGGACAATTATTTTCTGAGTTTAAATTTTCGATAAATTTTCTTACTTTATCATGCCTGTATTCACTAGACACAGAGCTATAGCAACCAACTCACCTGAGCCTATAGTAAAGGATGACCTGATGTTTGTTATTAAAGAGATGGCCATAGCTTCTAGAATCAAAGTGGTCATTGCCCCTGGATTCTGAACATATTCCTGCCAGCCATTTTGACAAGGACAAGGTTTTCATATTTTCTAACCTTCTGGGTCATGACTCCTCTGGCATTAAGTATTTCCTGTAGTAGTACCTTGGTTCCTGTTCTATGGCTGTGAGGAGACATCATGACTGTGGCAACTTTTAAAAAAGAAAGCCTTTAACTGGGGGCCTGTTTATAGTTTCAGAGGTTTAGTCCATGATCATCACAGTGGGAAGCAGACAGGCATGGTGTTGGGGCAGTAGGTGAAAGCTGTATATTCTAAGAGAGAGAGAGAGAGAGACAGAGACAGAGACAGAGAGAGAGTCTGGCACAGGCTTTGAACCTGTAAACCCATCCCCAGCTACAATACCTCCTCCAACAAGGCCATGCTTCCTCCAACAAGGCCACACATCCTCCAAAAAATGCCATATCTCCTCCAACAAGGTCACACCTTCTAGTCTACCTGAACCAGTTTATCAACTGGGAACACCACAGCTATGTGACTCTGTTGGCTCAGATCCTTGCTTGTAGAAAAACAGAAGCATACAGCCTTATTTCTTGTAGTGCCTGTGATGTGTTTCCTTTTCATTTTTATTTCTGCTCTTGGCTGATTTAGGCCCCTGTAGTCTTCACTAAATACTCCAGGAAAGGTAAATGAGCATCAAGATTTGTGCTTGAAGACACTCTCTCTAGCTGTCATAGCTGGTCCTCTGGTGTGTCCATCCACAGATGGCATTGTTTTACATATGCCTGTATAAGTGGTAGACACTTCATGTATCACACTTAGGGGCACTGAATCTTTCCTACTTTTAAAATTATTTATTTATTTTTATATTATGTGCATTGGTGTTTTGCTTGCATGTATGTCTATGTGAGGATGTCGGATCCTTTGGAACTGGAGTCAGAGACAGTTGAAGCTGGCATGGGAAAAGAACCCAGGTCCTCTGGGAAAGCAACCAGCGATCCCAAGTGTTGAGTCATCTCCAATTACTGGGGACATTGAATCTTAAAAAGAAGCCATTTAATGGGCAAGATACTTGAACCACGTCCAAGGATATGCTGTTGTAAACTGGTGAATGTGGGGGCACCTGATGAAGGATTTTTCAGTGGCATATTGGAACATGATTTTTCTGACATGGCCTAGGTTGCCAGTTTGCAGCCCCATTAAGAAGATGGCCAGGCAGGGGTTAGGGTTAGTGTTACTTGAAGTGATTGGCAGTCATAGTGCCTTCCACTGAATAATGCATCTCTATCCAGAGCTTAGGAAATGGGTCTTTGCATATAATATGATTCACCATATTGACACTGAAGGTCACTTCCTTTAATTGTTAGTCTCAGGAATCCAGCCAGACCCTATGCCCCAACAGCAAGAGATTTCAGGAGATACTGATGCAGAATGATACCTTTTTTTTTATTGAAAAGATTGAATTTGAGTATTGTCAGGTTTAGGAATATTAAGAGAGAGCAGGTGTGAGAAGGAAGTGATTGATAACCATGGGCTGTTTCTGGGACTCCATGGGAGACTGAATTTTGAAGACAACACAGACCTCTCTCGGCTGAGTGACACCTAGGAAAAGAGAGGACGACATGTGAAGTAGGACAGGGGAGGGCACAGGGGACATTGGTGTAGGTCTCAGGTCTCTGTGGTGGCCTTTACTGCAGGTTACTGCTATATTTCATCTCTTGTGTGTCACAAGCAGAGGCATTTGTAGCTCTTTTTTGGGGGCAGGGGGAAGAGGAAGCTAACTTGAAGCTATGGCCTCTGAAAGAGAAAATTGCTCCTCACAGGGCTGGGTGGACACAAGAAGATTGCATCTACTGCACAATTTTGTACCAGGATAAGCATGAAATTAAGTTTTACAAGCACAACACAAGAAGTGATAAGATTCTGTTATAAGCTCATACATATGCTTGCGCAAGTGGTACATACCCAGTTTTACCATTTGCTGGATCGGGCAGGAGAAAACCACTGATGCCACACACACACTAAGGCTAGGAATTCAGGACACAGCTCAGTACCTTCGTCTGTTCTGCCGGATGCTTTCCTTACTTTCCCAAATGTCATACTCCACAGCATCCCAGGTATGCACAGTGGGGACCAGCCAATTCCATAATGGTCACACATAGCTTCCAAACCCTGAAGCAGGCATCTCCCTCACCTGGTGACATCCTTACCTTCATATTGGTCCAGGCCTTCAGTTAGCCAGTGAACACATTATTTCCCAGTGATCTGGGTTTTCATTCTAGTTTTAAAGGAGCTCATGCCTTCTTCTTCAGATGCTCTTGTCTTGAAATTAAGATTGCCATCGTCGTTACCCTGTTTCTGCTTCCTTTCCTCGAAGACTTCCTCAGTGATGGTAGTCCTGGGACTTTTTGATTTAAAGGCGCTCCATGAGCTCTCACTGTGGCTGAATTCATCATGGCTAGAACTCGATCCCCCACTGCTCCCCAGGGTCTTTAGTTCAAGGTTTTCACTTGTGTCTTGTGAAAACTTATCTGTGAAGAGAAAAGTATGCCTGATTCTCTGTCCATCTTTCTGCACATTCCGGATTAGCTGGGCATCAGGACACTGTCAAGAGCCCATGCTTCGGCTCTGGTTATGGACCTGCGTTCAGATGTCCCTTGTGGCTGTCTACAAAGCCAGTGACCTTTTAGTCCACTTAGAAATTGGAATGATCTACTTGTCAAAGGGCCCCTTCAACTCCCCTCACAACTGACAATGAAGATGTTTACATTACCCGAAGTCCCACATTCCCCTGCAGCCCTCCTTACTGACATTTTGCCTGCCCTGTCACTGATAATTCACATAACACTTATGGGTAAGATTCAAAAAAGACTCAGTTTCCATCAGGGACAGAAGCCCTGGGAACATAGCCTTTTGTACACATTTTCCTCAAATACCTTTTGCACAGAACAAACTTGCCACTCACCATGGAATCTCCCCGAAGCTGGTTCTGTCACCAGAACCAGGAGCAATGTAAGGAGGAAGAAGCTGGTAGGATTCATCTTTCCAGGAAGGGCCTTGGCTGAGAGCTGAGCTGAGCTTCTCCTTTATATATTTCCTGACTGGCTTTGCCTGCAGGTATGAAAGGCAGTGACCTTTCTTATCTGTGAATGTCAGCTTCATTGTCTCTGCTCAGTAGGGGTCTTGGTACTGCTCCCTTGAATTCTGCAAGGACACAACCTCAGAGCATGCCCAGAAAACCTCCCTTGTACTTAGAGGACACTGCATAGGGATTTCTGTACTCGCAGAAGAACCTATTTCAGTTCACAGTGGGGAAGAGACTTGAGGCTGCAAGAATCTTCAGGACTCAATCATGCCTTCATTCTCCAGTAAGACTAACCCCTCCTAAGACCCCACCACTGAAATCAATCTTCTTCCAGTGTTTTTATTTGAAAATGAATGAGCACAGAGGTAGATGGACATGGGGGAAATGGCGCTATAAAGGATCCAGAGAAAGTTAGTTTGAATAGTCCACAGACAATCTCATTGACAGAGCCCTTACCTAGCAAAAGTGAGGCCCTTAGTTAAGTCCCGAACACTGCAGAACGAACTCATAAAAAAATGAATGGATAACACAAGACACATCAACATTGAAAGCTGCCATGAAGTTTATAATCATAATTATTGGCATGTTGCTCTTCAACACTTTATATCAGGTCAATCCCCAAACTGTTGCTTTGTTGTATATTCAGTGTGTGTGTGTGTGCGCTAAGCAGGGTAAGGAAAGGATTTATTTCATTTTATACCTTACAATCTGTAACCAATGATATGAGGACAGGAACTCTAGTAGGAGCCTGGAGGCAGAAACTGAAGCAGAGGCCAAAGAGGAAAAGTTCATTTTGGCTTGCTCTCAGGCTTGCTCAGCCTTCTGTTTTGCTTTTTTAGTTAGTTTTTTTTTTTGTACATAACATTATACTTATTTCAATATTCTTAGAGGTAAGCAAGATGTAGGTGGCAATTTCTAGCAATGGCATAAAAAAGTAAAATTTTTCCTGTTTCTCTTGGAATTTAGGTCTCTACAAACTACTTTTCTATATCCATTTTTGCCTCTCTTATAAATTATTTTTTGATATGTGATAGTCACCTCATTTTTCACTTCCCTTTCCTTCCTCAAGCCCTCTCATATGCTCTTCTTGCTCTCTTTCAAATACATGGCCTGCTTATTCATTAATTGTTGTTAAATACATTTATCTTCCTAAATCCACCTGATACAACCTGCTCAGCCTGTGTAATGGTACACACACACACATTTACATACATATATACATATGTATGGGTTAGGGCTGACCATTCGGTATTGGATAACCGACTAGTGTACTCTCCCCTGTGGAAAACTTCCTCCTGCTCTCGGCATTCCTTAGTTGCCTGTAGTTCTTTGTCTAGGGTTGGGGCCTCAATTCCTCCACCCACTTTGGAGTGCCTTATTGTTGTCCTTGTACAATACATGTCTAGGGAATCACATTGATGAGATTGCATGGGTGTAGCTTCAGACATTTCTAGGAGGTACAATCTCACAGCAAACTCTATATATTTGTGTCTTATTATCTTTCTACCTGTCTTTCACAATGATCCCTGGAACTTAGGTGCAAGAGTTGTGCTGTTGTAGATGCCAAGTGGGATTGAACTCCACTACTGTGCATTCTGAGTGGTTATGGTTTCCCAAAATTTTTCCTGTCTGATGCAAAGAGATATTGTTTCCATGAATTGGGGTAAGAGCTGTACTTATCTGTGTGTAGAAGGACAAATATTTAGGATGTAGTTGGGATTGTGCTGATTTAGTAAATTTGTGGTTGTAGATTCTTTTCTTAAATATATGACTTCACTAGCCATGAGTAGTTGGTTAGGGCGTGATTCCCTCTAGTTGAGTGGATTTTAAGTCCAATTAGTGTTTTTGGTGACCACCAAGTTGTGGGTGTCACTATTGCAGCCTTAGGGTTATCTTGCCTAATGGTCATTGTTGTGGTTGATATGTATCATAGTCCTGGGTAGGACTATTTGTTGCCTCATTCCTTTAGAAGCTTGCATGGCACTTTGATACCATGAAAACTAAACCCCAGGAAGGAGGCTTTCAGGTCAGTTCCAGTCCTCTGAGCCCTGTGTCTGAAATGCACGGTGTCTTCAGCAATAGGGACTTACCTCTCACCTCGCTAAAGAAAACCAAGGACAATAGCAATAGTCTGTAATGTTTGGGAGTCTCTTGGACAACCCCTACCAGCAACTCAAAAGAGAGCTTCTTATTCCCAGTGGTGGAGTTTTTGTTAGGTGGTCTATGGCTTTTGTGTGTGAAAATTACTATATGTGTATATACTGACCTGTTTGTATGTTTAGATAGATCATTAATACTATGATTCCTTACAAGTTTTTCAGGCATCCCTATTTTACCTTCTTCCCTCCTTCTATATCAATCTCATTTCTCCTCCCTAATTAGAGTCCGTTCTTGGAGTCTCCATTACCCTCCTCAGAGTACATCATCACAGGTGCTCATCACAACTCACACCTCCACCCTCACAATGGTCCCTTCTACTTCCCTGGTTTCTGCAGAGTACATCATTAAAGGGGAGGATTTCCCACTCACAGTGATCTCTTAGGAAGGTTCTCTACTACCATAAACTCAGTAAAATATGATAAGTTGGAATCAGAGTATTTCCCACCTGTGTGGAAGTCTGCATTTCCAGTCATGAGACCACCCTAAAGCTTTCAGCCTCTCATCTCTTCCCATTGAGTTCTGGAGTCTGTGCTGTGGGTACAGCAGGTAAGAAAGGAAGAGCATCCCTGTAGTGAGCCTGGGTGTGGTCCTAGAGGAGTCAGGGTTGTTCTGAAGGGAAGATAGGTCGAGCTTAGTTTTAGGAAAAGAAAATGAGTGACAGTGATGTGTCACTAACTGGGCTTATGTGGCCTTGCTACGCTGGTTCTCACTTTGTTCCTGGGTAGTGATTCCTCCCCCCAGAAGAGCTCTTACATCACCATGGAGTGACACTGATATGACATGGCTTCCTGTAGCCTTCACTCCTCCTCCTGCTTTCCTTTTGGGAGGCCTCCAGGAAATGCTTCATGCTGAGACTGTTTATGAAAGCAAGGACCTGATAGCTTGGGTTGTATTTTTAGATTAAAGAACTAATCTGTTATTTAATCTACTGTGCAAAAGGTTCAGATAAAACCCAGGGAACAAATCTGAAAAAAAAATGGTTCAGAAATCACAGAACACAGTATTATGCCGATATTGATAAAGAACTTATTAAAACACACACTCATCACAATGAAAGCAAGAATCAGCAACCCAGGGTGTGGAAACAAACAAGCATAATTTCACCAGACATGTTGATTCCAGTTAGTTGAATAAGTAAAACTTTCTGGATGATTGTTTTGAAAGCAAGTAATGAATGGCACACAGTTTGACCCTCAGCACTGAGCATACTGATCCAGTATATTGTGTAATCAAAGCCAGTATGGGTAACGAAAGTGACACTCTGTTACATGGAGATGTGTTAATTCCACCAGACAAGCATAAAACCACTACCACAATTTGTGCCAAAGTTGAAGCAAGTTTTAAATAAAGACTGGCCAGGCTGATGGACTCTGGCCAGGTCCATTCCAGGGTTCCCAGAAAATAGTGACCAGTCATATTGTGCAGAGACTTACAAAGGCAAACCCATAAGGCTCCATGTTTCCCACCAAGTCCATTCAGAGGGAAACATATGGGCTGCTATCCTACTGAAGGAAAGTCAGGTCAGGAATTTATGCCAGAAACTTAGAGGCAGAAACTGAAAGCAGAGGTCGTAGAAAAATACTGTTTACTGGCTTGCTCTCCGTAGCTTTCCTAGTGTGCTTTCTTAAAGCATCAACAAGCCCAAGAGTTTCACTGTCCACAGAGAGCTGGTCCCTCTCACATCAATCACATCAATTAGCAATCACGAAAATTGCCAGATCTTTTCCCATTGGCCAGTCTGGTGGAGGTATTTCCTCAATTGAGGTTTACTTTGCCCAAATGGCTCTGCCTTGTGTCATACTGACAAATAAACAACAGCAACAACAACAAAAACAGACAGCACCCAACAGTTTCATTTCAAATGTTTTCCTTCTATCTGCTGTAAGAACCCTTTTTAATATCACATAGAAATATTAAACAACATTTTGAATGTTCCTTAAGGATGTGAAGGTAGAATATCTTGGAAGATGTGAGTCCCACCTTAATAAATGCAGGAATGATAGCTGGAGTGTTCACTGTCTTAGTCCATGCTCTATTGCTATAAAGGGACACCATGACCATGGCAACTCTTATAAAGGAAAATAAATCACCACATTCTACTCCTTGTCCCCTATAAGCTTAGTAGAACTTCAAAAGTCCCCATAGTCTATCACAGTGTCAATGCTATTTCAAAGTCCAAAGTTCAAAAGTCTTCCAAGACTCAAGTCAATCTATTAGCTGTGACCCTCCTCAAAAATTAAAACAAAAAAGCAAATTACAAACATCAAACATATAATGACACAGGATATGCATTACCATTCCAAAAGGGAGCATAACAAAGAAATACTGGACCAAAACAAGACTGAAAAACAGCTGGGCCAACTCCAAACTCTGCATCTTCATGTCTGATGTCAAAAGCTTTTCAGATCTCCAATTCCTTTCAGCTCTTTTTCTCTCTTAGGTTGTTTCCAAACCTGGTTAGCATCTCTCCTTGGCAGGTACCCACTGTCCTGGCATTGCCAATATTTTTGAGTCTCTAATAAAATTTAGGCTTCACTTTCATAACTTCATATGATGGTCTTTCTGGGCCTCCATGCAGGGACACCCCTGACACATGCCTGGCCTCAGCAGCTTTCCTTAACCACAGAGGGACAGTTCATAACTTTTTTTTTTTTTTTTTTTTTTTTTTTTGGTATCCTTGACTTGAAAGGCCCTCAGAGCGACACCCCAAATCACTCACGAGAAGCGGTCTTGATGCAAACAGCATGAGGTCTTTTTTATTCCAAGTGCACTGGGGTCCACAGCCATACACCACGCAGGGGTAGAGGACTGAGGACCCCAGTACAGGATTGAGACAGCTTTTATAGGGTTACAACAAAGCCCGCGCATCGTAAACCAATCACC